TTAAAACATAACTTTTATTTCATCAGATATTTATGGCATTTTCCCTCAGTCTCTATTTGTGTCTTTCAGCTTGTCCTCCCACTGTTGCCTCTGGGAAATGAACATAACTGCTAGCACTGCCAATGCCATCACTGGAATAGAGTTTTTTTAAAGTCACTTTATTTAAGCTAAAAAATAAAATAACCTCTAAAATGGAATTTTTAATTTTCTGTATTTTTTTTTTTTAAATAACTAACTGCCAGTTGAAAAGCTGGCATTTGAGCCTATGGCTTAAACTCATGTCCTAGGTTTTAAAAATTAGACTAGGAAGATGGGAATCAAGCAGTTTTAGCTTTTGTGCTGAGACTCAGATTGTACTGCAAAACATGTGGGATATTCCAAACACAGGAACAGGATTCAAATACTGGGTAAAAAAAGACCTGAGAAATGTCTATTATATCCACTCATCAAATGCCTTCCCTATTTTCTGTGATGTATAAGGGATCATCAATAGAAACTTGATGATTTTATCTATACATACTATTTTCCCCTGAAATGGTATATAAAATACAATATATAGGTAGTGTTGTTGCTCTTTTTTAAAAAAATGAATATATTTTTTACTGAAGGATAATTGCTTTACAGAATTTTGCTATTTTCTGTCAAACCTCAATATGAATCAGCCATAGGTATACATATATCCCCTCCCTTTTAAAACTCCCTCCCCATCCCACCTCTCTAGGTTGATGCAGAGTCCATGTTTGAGTTTCCTGAACCATACAGCAAATTCCCATTGGCTATCTATTTTGCATATAGTAATGTCAATTTCCGTGTTACTGTTTCCATACATCTCATCCTCTCCAGTATTGCTCTTAAACAGGCTTTCAGATTTGTCTTACTAATCCTAGAAATTAATTAATGAATGCCTAGAAAGTTTGCTTGACATATTAATCTCTTAGATTAAATGAGAATTGAAGATGAGTAAGAACAGCCTAGAAACATCAGTAAAGGACACAATTAGGGAATAAGACTTTATATTTTGGGGCTCCAAAATCACTGCAAATGGTGACTGCAGCCATGAAATTAAAAGATGCTTGCTCCTTGGAAGAAAAGCTATAACCAACCTAGATAGCATATTAAAAAGCAGAGACATTCCGTGGCCAGCAAAGGTTCGTCTAGTCAAAGCTATGGTTTTTCCAGTAGTTATATGTGGATGTGAGAGTTGGACTATAAAGAAAGCTGAGCACCAAAGAATTGATGCTTTTGAATTTTGGTGTTGGAGAAGATTCTTGAGAGTCCCTTGGACAGGAAGGAGATCCAACCTGTCCATCCTAAAGGAAATCAGTCCTGAATATTCATTGGAAGGACTGATGCTGAAGCTGAAGCTCCAGTACTTCGGCCACCTGATGTCACGAACCGACTCATTGGAAAAGACCGTGATGCTAGGAAAGATTGAGGACAGGAGGAGAAGGGGACGACAGAGGATGAGATGGTTGCATGGCTTCACCTACTCAATGTACATGAGTTTGAGTAAACTCTGCGAGTTGGTGATGGACAGGGATGCCTGGCTTGCTGCAGTCCATGGGGTTGCATAGAGTCTGACGTGACTGAGTGACTGAACTGACTAAGGGAATACGTTTTCAGAGGAACATGCAAATGGGTATAAAAAGAGATGATGATGAATGAAGTAGTATATTTTCACTTGGTAGAGGAGGCAGTGAATCTAATCAAATTTAGGGTAGCTAGTTTGACAAAGTTTTGGAGGTTGAACACTATCGTTAAAGAATACTGATTACTTGTGTAGTTACTTACCTTTTCTTCAACGCATTTAAAAAAAGAAGAAAAGAGGTTTTACATGGCATCAGCCAAACCCACCACTCATATTTAGTCTAGGTATTAGAAGAGAGACTAGGTGGTGACTCCAGACAGGGTGTTAAGAGATGGGAATACCAGACCACCTGAGCTGTCTCTTGAGAAATCTGTATGCAGGTCAGGAAGCAACAGTTAGAACTGGACATGGAACAACAGACTGGTTCCAAATAGGAAAAGGAGTACGTCAAGGCTGTATATTGTCACCCTGCTTATTTAACTTATATGCAGAGTACATCATGAGAAATGCTGGGCTGGATGAAGCACAAGCTGGAATTAAGATTGCCGGGAGAAATATCAATAACCTCAGATATGCAGATGACACCACCTTTATGGCAGAGAACGAAGAACTAAAGAGCCCCTGGATGAGAGTGAGAGAGGAGAGTGAAAAAGTTGGCTTAAAGCTCAACATTCAGAAAACTAAGATCATGGCATCTGGTCCCATCACTTCATGGCAGATAGATGGGTAAACAGTGGAAACAGTGGCTGACTTTATTTTTTTGAGGCCCAAAATCACTGCAGATGGAGACTGCAGCCATGATATTAAAAGACACTTACTCCTTGAAAGGAAAGTTATGACCAACCTAAACAGCATATTAAAAAGCAGAGACATTACTTTGCCAACAAAGGTCCATCTAGCCAAGGCTATGGTTTTTCCAGTAGTCATGTATACGTGTGAGAGTTGGACTATAAAGAAAGCTGAGTGCCGAAGAATTGATGCTTTTGAACTGTAGGTGTTAGAGAAGACTCTAGAGAGTCCCTTGGACTGCAAGGACATCCAACCAGTCCATCCTAAAGGAAATCAGTCCTGAATATTCATTGGGAGGACTGATACTGAAGCTGAAACCCCAATACTTTGGCCACCTGATGCAAAGAACTGACTTATTTGAAAAGACCCTGATGCTGGGAAGCATTGATGTCAGAGGGACGGCAGAAGATGAGATAGTTGGATGGAATTACCAACTCAATGGACATGAGTTTGGGTAATCTCCGGGAGTTGGTGATGGACAGGGAGGCCTGCCATGCTGCGGTCCATGGGGTCGCAAAGAGTCAGACACGACTGAGTGACTGACCTGAACTGAACAGCTTTTGATAAGAAAATGAAAATGGGTAGTATAATCAAGATCTTTGTAAAGTTTTCCTAAATACTCTGAGTACTTTTTATATGAATGATTTCTTTGTTTTTGTGCTCTCTTATGCTTTCCTTTCACATACCACAGAGGCAGTCCTGAAAGATCCAAAAGTCATCTTTGAAGCTATTTTACTACCATTTATCCTCAGCCTGCTTTTACTAAATATACTCCTAGTGTAGACAAGAAAGGAACAGTAATTGGCATTCTCAGTTGACTTATAGATTGTGGAATTTGTGTTTGACATAGTATTTACACCAGAAATATGGAATTGCATGTAAGAATCTCTTCCACCAGTCATGATCCATGCTTTTACCTTATTTAGTGATTCTTTGAAAGTGGGAGATCATGTTGTTGTCTTGTACATGAAGGTGATGATCATAGGGATTTAAGGAACAAAGAAAGTATGTTTTATAAAGTTCGGTTCCTAGATGGACTTCAAAAGTATTCTTTCTCAGTATCCAAATGTGTTTGACTTATTTGAAACATTAAAAAATCTCTTTTCTGTTTGCCTATACTTTGATTGTTCAGTCTTGTTTTCTACGTTGAAATTAGCTTTTGTAGAATAGTAAGTTGTGTATTAGATATTCAGTCATGTCCAACTCTTCATGACCCCATGGACTATATAGCCTGCCACGTTCCTCTGTCCATGGAATTCTCCAGGCAACAGTACTGGAGTAGGTAGCCTTTCCCTTCTCCAGATCTTCCCTATCCAGGGATTGAACCCAGGTCTCCTGCATTGCTGGCAGGTTCTTTACCATCTGAACCACCAGGGAACAGTAAGATTAGCTAACTGTTTTGTAGATTCAGGGACCAATCTAAGTATTTGTTTTAACTCATTTAAACCTCACAGCAACTCAGTGACATAGAATATAAGTTCTATAGTTTTCCTACTTAAAGATGAAGACACTGGGAATTACAGAGGTTAAATAGCTTGGTTAGGGTCCTATAACAAGTAAGAAGCAGATATTTGGAACCAAGGAGGTCTAGTGCTAGAGCCTTCACCCTTAGCCACAAGACAAGTTTCCTGCCTGCCCGAAAGTTATTAAACTTAAAAAATTTTGTCTTTGTACATAAAACAGATGAACACATTTGTTATATATAAAACATTATTTTTTAAAATAATTTGAAGAAAATGAGTTTTAAAAGTTTTCATTGAGGTAATTAGCTAATGATTTGTAGGCAATTGTATATAATTGTATAACAAATATATAATATTTTTATTTTGTTTAGATTAGAATTATTATTACAGTTATTAATATCCATGTGGTTTATGTTGATTAAAAATGTTAATATAACTGTAGAGCATGTTAAGAGTCATAAGTGATGAAAGGGGAAGCCTTTTAAGCTAATTGAAATCTATTAAAATGAAATAAGCAGTCTCATTTGTAGGACAAGTAAAGTATGCTCACACAGGACGGTAAAGCAGGAATAGTTTTGCTACTTAAGAAAATAAATAATCACTGCTCTCATTTCTATATAAAATTTGATTTTTATTGTGAAATTTTAAAATTAGAGTTTGATATATATTATGAAGGGCTTCCCAGTGGCTCAATTCCCACTTCCCAGTGGTAAAGAATTCACCTGCAATGCAGGAGATGTGAATTTTATCCCTGGGTTGAGAAGATCCTATGGAGAAGGCCATGACAACCCATGACAATTCCAGTATTCTTTCCTGGGAAATCCCATGAACAGAGGAGCCTGGTGGTCTACAGTCCATGGGATTGCAAAAGAGTCAGACATGATTTAGCGACTAAACAACAACAACTATATTATGAAGACTAATTTTTTAAGAATGTGAATCTGTACTTTATGATTCTGTTCATGTTAATTTTTTGTGAGTCAGTTTATTCTTCGTTTAGGAGAGCATATTTAGGGATACTCTTTTAAATTTCTATTTTTAATAATGAAGTAAAAGTTTTGTATTTTTCTTTGTATACCATTTCTCAGTATGAACATCTATGCTATATCTTTCTGGAAATTTCCTATATGTTTATGCTAGTTCATTGAAATCTGTTTCAGGGTGTTCCAGCACCAGGTGCCTATGATGTTCAAAAGTCCTATGAGATGTCTCAAATTCAACATAAATACATGCCACCTCGTACTTTAGCGGCTAGAATAAAACATGCCTCCTTTCTTAGCACAACACCTCGGTGCCTGGACAAAGTGGATGATGGGCCAGGTAAGTAAAGATTGTCCTTTTAAAGATATGAGGAAAAAAAAAATCTAAGGTTTCCTTATTAAGATAGATAATTTTAAACATACATTTACATTTATCATGTCTCTTTTAAGTTTGCAGGCCAAAAAGAAAACACACCAAAAACCAACCTAAATCTGCTTATTTAGTGAAAGATTTTAGAATTTTTTCAACTGTAAGGTTTGTTTGGAATTTTATGTCTTTTAATTTTTCCAAAGACAATTTTACTAATTTTATTACAGCTAATAAGTCATCTCTTATTAGAGAAAAAAACAAACTCTAAATATGCTACATTATAAGAGCAGAAATAACTACTGATTTGGAAAATCAGTCATATACAAGATATGTATCTTGTACATATCATGCCAGTCTCAGGGAATTATTTAAATTTTCCTCAAGTATTAAGAAAGCAACGATTTAAAAGCTAAATGTTTTTTTATCAGGGCTTGAAATACCAAAAGAAATTTTTATTTTAAAAATTGCAATTAGTTCAGCTACTAGTAATCACACTTCTGTACTAAAATATAATGAAATAGCTTTTCTTGGTAATGAAAATGAATTGATAAGTCCATTTCACACCAGAGTGCTAGATAAAGAATAGGAACATGAGTTTTCAACAGTAATTTACAAATGTATTGCCAGTAAATAATCAAATTATTGTAATGAATCTTTATGAGATTATGAAAAGAAAAAATGAAACAGAATAGAGAAAATTAAGAGGTTTTAAAGAAAAATCAAAGCAAGAGAATATAATGGGTCAAGCAAATAAGAATACTTTGGGAACCCTGAAATCCACAGAGACTTGCTTTATTTTTCACTTTCAATAATCAGGTATATTACCAACTTACAGGTCCATTTTAAGTCTAAATTTAGCTTTCCTTAGTTTCTTTTTCATCTTTTGAGTTATTGTGCCATTATATATTTTGTCAGGTTTTAGCTTTGTTTGAAGTATCAGTAGAATTCAATTACCTTTACTGTGTCCGGCAGCTCAGTTCAGTTCAGTCACTCAGTCGTGTCTGACCCTGCAACCCCATGAATCACAGTATGCCAGGCTGCCCTGACCATCACCAACTCCTGGAGTTTACCCCAACTCATGTCCATCGAGTCGGTGATGCCATCCAGCCATCTCATCCTCTGTCGTCCCCTTCTCCTCCTGCCCCCAATCCCTCCCAGCATCAGGAGCTTTTCCAATGAGTCAACTCTTCGCAAGAGGTGGCCAAAGTACTGGAGTTTCAGCTTCAGCATCAGTCCTTCCAATGAATATTCAGGACTGATTTCCTTTAGGATGGACTGGTTGGATCTCCTTGCAGTCTAAGGGACTCTCAAGAGTCTTTTCCAACACCACAGTTCAAAAGCATCAATTCTTCGGCACTTAGTTCTCTTCACAGTCCAACTCTCACATCCATACATAACCACTGGAAAAACCATAGCCTTGACTAGATGGACCTTTGTTGGCAAAGTAATGTCTCTGCTTTTTAATATGCTATCTAGGTTGGTCATAACTTTCCTTCCAAGGAGTAGGCATCTTTTAATATCATGGCTGCAATCACCATCTGCAGTGAATCTGGAGCCCAAAAAAGTAAAGTCTGCCACTGTTTCCACTGTTTCCCCATCTATTTGCCATGAAGTGATGGGACTGGATGCCATGATCTTGGTTTTCTGAATGTTGAGCTTTAAGCCAACTTTTTCACTCTCCTCTTTTACTTTCATCAAGAGGCTCTTTAGTTCCTCTTCACATTCTGCCATAAGGGTGGTATCTTCTGCATATCTGAGGTTGTTGACATTTCTCCCGGCAATCTTGATTCCAGCTTGTGCTTCTTCCAGCCCCGCGTTTCTCATGATGTACTCTGCATATAAGTTAATAAGCAGGGTGGCAATATACAGCCTTGATGTACTCCTTTTCTTATTTGGAACCAGTCTGTTTTTCCATGTCCAGTTCTAGCTGTTGCTTCTTGACCTGCATACAGGTTTCTCAAGAGGCAGGTCAGGTGGTCTGTGTCCATAACCACACTCAGTATATGGTCACCCAGAAATGTTTTAGGGAAATTAGTTCTTTGATGTCCAGGTACTATCACTGTCACCAAGACCAAGAACAATAAATCAAGTAACAAACAGATATCTATTCCAGAGTCCCTTAAAGTAGATTAGATTGGTTTTCATATTTTCTGAAGATTTTTTTCCTTTGCCTTTATTCTCATATCCATAACATGTATTATAGATAGAATGCATAGTAAGAGTTTAAGTTATGTTCCAGAATTGAAATCTGACTTTTTTGTTACTTCAGTATTTAGCCTCAGGCAATTAAACTCGCTAATTGTTTCATTAATTTCTATTTTACAAAATTGAGATAATACTTGCCACCTCTTGACTCTCATGAGAATATGAAAGATTAATAAAACTATACTTCAAAGTCATTTTCAGGACATTTGAATCTCCTAGAAGTATAAAATCTTATTATAATATGAAACTTGTTTCTTCTTAGTGCCAAGCCAGCAATAGCTTCTGAAAGATTTTGGGATAGGGAAATATTGTCATTATGAAGACAGTTATTATGTGGAAGTCAGAGACATATGGGCTGTCAACGTCACTATACGACTATAGATTAGCTAGTTAACTAAATGAAAAGAATTTATCACAGTAAGCCAATACTTCATTAAGTTTGCCATCCTGCATCTTAAAGTAGCCTATAATTCAAATAAATGATAGCAGATATCCCACATACCTCTATGATCAGCACATTTGAAAAAATATATGCATTTCTGAAGATATTATCTGATGCCATGATTATGAAATTTGATTTCCTCTGATGTATGTAGATACTGTAATTTTATAGAATGGTTCATTTTTTTGAACTTAATCTTAAAATATACAGTCCAGAATATGTCTCTTACATATATTTAATAGATGACCAGGGCCAATTATTATCCATACCTTGATTTGGTAATTGAAAATTAACGTCTGTTTGTCCTGTTACATTGATCCAAGCTAGGAAAATAAGTCAGGTGTGTGGTTTTATCAGCTCTCTGAATAGGTTCATCTTATTTTGTTGATTTTTGTTTAGGCTAAATTTTTTATTGACTGATATTATAAGCAATTCTTAATTCTATAATGAGAATAGCCCATTTATATTTATAGTTCTTAATACCATTTAACTTTTGTTCAGACAACTGGGATGTTAAGTCTTTAGGTTTTTGTTTTAAATCATTGTTATATGATCAAAAGGTACAATGATAGTAATTCTGTTGGTTATACATTTTGTGTCAATGTTTATCCTATGAATGATATTTTTTCTTATCATATATTCTTATAAAAAGAGTGGGTTTTTTTAATCCCTAATATTTGTTATTTAACTCTCAGTAAATGTTTTACCTTAATATCGGTGATAAGAGCCATTGGGTTTTATGTCAAATTATTTATGAGCCAGATAAAATTATTTTCTGTTACTATATATGTGTATTTGTATACATTTGCAACTGTAGGACTGAGTTAATTTATAGAGCCTGATATGCATGTTTCTTCCATGAGTCATGACATTGGCAAGAAGAATTGAATGCTTTGCCTTTCAGAACTTAAAAAATATGTACCTATAATAGAATAATAGGCAAGTTAAAAATTTAATACTGTCTGATATTTGTAGGTAGAAGTGGTAAGAACTAAGATTGATAAATGACATAATATGAGTTTGGTTGATATATGAATAGTATTCTTGGGACGCACAAACTTATAGGATATTCAGTCACTCAACATTCTATAGCTGTGTATTTATTTCAAATTATTTTAGAACTTTTATTAACACTATGGAAGTGATTTTGTCTTATTCAAATGAAGTCTTTTCTTTGAAGATATTTAAGAAGGATAAAACTCATTTTCATTAGTCTAAATTAAAGAGGGAATTAGTATAGTTGCAGTCAGTATACTGTATACCATTAATGTTATGTAACCAATAAAAAACACATTTGAATCATTTAATGAGGAAGTTATTAAATGAGGTGTATCACATCATAAAGTAATGTACTCTTGCACACCAAGTTTTAATTCAGGTATATGTAAATGACTTTGTGATAAATCTACTTCAGGTAAAGTGAAATTGTTATGTGTGAAGAGAATTAAACATTATTTTTTCCTCTCATATTTGACCTGTTTTTGGACATTTGGAGGAGGAAAATACTCAACAAATTTAAAAAGAAAATGAATGAAAACATTGAGAATATGGAAAATTGGGGACTCTTTTGTATCACAGTGGAAGTATAAGTTCATATCAGTGATTCTAAAGGATAGGCTGGCAGAATGTTTCAAATATACATCCCATTTAACATTAAAGTTCTACTTCTGTGTTTCCTCTATGAAATAATTGATGATATGCCTAAAGTTTTACACATTAGGTATATTTATCCAAGAATACTTAAAATGAAAAGTTTTAAATATATTAGATGAAAGAAAAATAGGTAATTCTGATGTATAAGCTGAATAGAGTCCTATGAAAAATTTTAAAATGGTATATATCATTTAAACCTGATAAAGGATAGGATTAATTTGATCAGTCATTCAACAACTGTGTACCGAGAGCCTCTTACATATTAAGCGCTGTTCCAGGGACTTGTGATAGAGCAGTGAACAAGATATAAACAGTGTTTCATGGAGCAAAATCTTAGGATTGAGACATTTAATAAATAAATGAATCAATAGATCAATAGATTGATAAATGAGGGAAGGAAAAGAAAGAATACCAGATGGTTATAAATGCTGTGGAGAAAAATGAGAAAAAAGGAAGAATGGGAGTTCATTGTGGATTCTGCATCAGTTTAAAAAGTGTTATCAGTGAAGAGCTTACTTGGAAAAGAATATGTGATTAAACAACCTTATGCTCTTGAAATATTTTGTTTTGCTTTTTGATTTTTGCTTTCTCTGTATGAACATACACTGTTTTATAGTAAGTAAAAATGATTTAAAATTTTTAATAAAACAATTGAAATTTAAAGCATACTTTTAATTAAAATAAATATTCAAGTTAATAATAGATTAAATAATACATAGTATAAATATAACACTTGTAGGCTGAACATAACAGGTACTGAGACTATTTTTGTATAGAAAGCATAGATCATTTCTAATGAAAATAACATGATTTATGTATCACATTCCTATGGGAAATTATTTTAGGAAATATTCATCTTTGGAGTTAATTGAACATATCCTATGAAGATATTTTTGTTCACTTTTTCAATAAATATAAGTGGTACCTTTGATATAAAAACCAGTGTAGTGTGAAAACTAATTATTTATTATATTATCTCAGTGGTTTGTAATATTATAGCTTCAGAAATACTATAGAGTTTGTCAAAATGCAGTTCATCCCACTTGCTGAGTGCTATTGCAATAAACATGTAATTTTTGGGCTTGTTTTTCTATAGCTTCCAGAAATATTTTTGGGTTGTGAAAATGCAGTATAATTCTGAGTATAGGCAAAAATTGATCAGCTCAACATTGGAGACTTGCTGATTTTATATCATTATTAAAAATTTTATTACTGAAAGTAAGCTCACTTTATTCAATTTGCTCTCAAATCATTTTTGTTTCTTTGGGTCCTTCATATATCAGGTAAATTCTTATTTATATACAATTTGAGAAAGATCAATTTATTTACTAGGTGTATCTTAAAGGTAAAATTACCCTATATTTAGTATACAGAAAATGAATTTTCTGAGTCATTCACTTTTTGTATACTAAAGAATCTTTGAAGACTATGGGAAAAGCTTCATTTGAGGAGAAATTAACTATGTTGGGGGAGGGGAAAAGAGAATTGATGCAAAATATTTTAGAACAGAAGGTTATCAGAATCAAAATCTGAAATAGAATGGTAGCCTTAAAGCAGAAAATGGACTTTGTTTATTTCAGTGGAAGGTAAGGTGTAAAGAATAACTGAAAATGTATAGATTTTATATAGAGAGATAATACAAGTATAATTCTTTTTTTGTACTTTGCATTATTGCACTTTACTGATGCAGCTTTTTTTTTTTCTTAACAAACTGATGCCCTATGGCCACCCTATTGAGCAAGTCTATCCATACCATTTTTCCAATAGCATTTGGTCACATCCTGTCTCTGTGTCATGTTTTGGTAATTCTCACAATATTTCAAGGTTTTAATTATTATATTTGTTATGGTGACTTGTAGTCTGTGATCTTTGATGTTACTATTTTAATTGCTTGGGGACATCATGAACTACACCCATATAAGATGGCAAACTTAACTGGTAAATGTCATGTGTGTTCTGACTGCTCCATCAACTTGCAGTTCCCTCTCTCCCTCTTTCAGATCTCCCTATTCTTTGATATGTAACAATATGGAAATCAGGCCAATTAATAACCCTAAAATAGCCTATAACTGTTCGAGTGAAGGGAAATGTTACATCCCTCACTTTAAATCAAAAGCTAGAAATGATCAGGTTTAGTGAGAAAGGCATGTTTGAAAGCTGAGACAGGCTGATGTGATATAACATTGTTGCCTGTAATCACTATGTTATGCATTAAATCTCTATGACTTACTTATTTATTAGTTTTAAGTTGTGTACCCTTAAATAACATCTCTCTTCTTACCCCATTCCCAGTCCCTGGTCACCACCATTTTACTGTATTTTTTTTTTTTTTTTGAGTTTGACTTTAGATTCCACATGTAAGTGATATCATATGGTATTTTTCTTTCTCTCTCTGATTTATCTTAGTATAATGTCATTGAAGACCATCCATGTTATTATTACAAGTGGCAGGATTTCCTTCTTTCTTGTAGTTGAACAATATTCCAGTGTGTGTGTGTGTGTGTGTGTGTGTGTGTGGCATGGGCCACATCGTCTATATCCATTTACCTTTTCAAGAGCGCTTAAGGTTGTATCCATATCTTGGCTAATGTGAATAGTACTGCAATAAATATGGAGTGCTTGTAACTCTTCAATAGTGGAGCAGCTCTTTATTACAGATTTCTTAAACACAGAAAGTGACATTACAAAGCATTCAACATGTACAGTATATAATAGCAAGCTTGAGAAGTACATAGTGGCAAAGTCTCATGGAATCTAAAATAAGTATAATAAATCATATGAATTTATAATTGCATATATATATATTTTAGTAGATCAAAGCACTATGTATTCAAAAATTTTCACATTTCATCTGTAACAACAAAATATTTTGCTTATTAAATGATATGGTGACTTCAAGGAAAAGACAACTGTTTTATAAATTTATATAATCCTCAGTTATAATTCATGAAGATGTTTAGCTTCGGTGAGTGAAGTGAAAGTCACTCAGTCGTATCCAACTCTTTGTGACCCCATGGACTGTAGCCCACCAGGCTCTTCTATCCATGAAATTCTCTAGGCCAGAATACCGGAGTGGGTATTCTTTCCTTTCTCCAGGGATCTTCCCAACATAGGGATTGAATTGTGGTTTCCTGAATCACAGGCAGATTCTTTACCAGCTGAGCTCTCAGGGAAGCCCTTGGACCTTCCAATCTGAAGGAAGCTAATCAAATTAAATATTAGCAAAAATGTGTGAAAATTTTAGGCAAATATAATACAGCTTCAAGTGGTCAGGCTTGCCTTCTAAGTTGTCTCAACAGTTAGGAGGCTTCTTATTACAGGAGGTCTCTGTCCATGAGCTGAATAACTTAATTTTCAGGAATGCTTTGGGATGTATTTCTGCAGAGAGTGGCAAGTTGGATTTGAGGAACTTTAAGCCCCCCACCCATTTTCACTGTGTCCAAATCTAATAATTCTCTAGATTATGAGGAGGCAGCTAGTATAAGGGCTTCCCAGGTGGTGCAGTGGTAAACAATCTACCTGCCAATGCAAGAGATGGAGGTTCAGCCCTTTGGTTGAGAAGATCCCCTGGAATAGGATATGGCAACCCACTCTAGTATTCTTGCCTAGAAAATCCCATGGAAGAGGAGTCCAGTGGGCTACAGTCCATGGGGTCACAAAGAGTCAGACATGGCTGAGAACGCGCATGCGTGCGGCTAGTATACAAGAATGTAAATGATACAAGAATTAAATTATAATGTGATTATAATGAGATTATTCATGAAGGAAATTTGAATTTATAGAGAATAAGGGTAAATAATACCATCTCTAATCTGTATTCAAAATTTTTTTAGGAATTTTTTCCTAAAGACATCATATTAAATATTTCATTTTTACCCATATAACATAGGTCTAATTCCATTTTTATCACTAATGTCATTGATAATAATGGGTCTTGACTTGGAATCACTGTTAGCAAGAACAATAATTTATCAACACTTCATAGTGTCAACAGACACTTTTCAAAATAGTTTATATATATTAACTAGTTTAATTTTCACAACAATCCTATAGTTATCACACTTTACAGAAAAAGCAACCAAATCTTAGTTTATGTTACTTGCCTAAGCTCTCACATTTTGAGGATAGCAGGCATTCAAATATAAGATGTTGGCACATGGACCTGTGCTTTTAACTACTGTTTTCTAAGTATAGTTTTAATTAAATGACATTAAATGTATAAATCGTTTGGTTATGAGTCTGATTAGTATGAATTCTTTCTCATTCCTTGGGGTTTTTATATACCTGTGTATATAAATATATAAATGACCAAATAATTTCAGAACATATAAAGGTGAGTCAGCTGTAAGATAGAGACTCTATTAATAGTATGAGGTAGGTAAGTCCCTAGGCAATAATTCAACTTGACTTTATAAACAGAGTTTCTGAGGATGATAAGCAGCCCCCTGATACAGTTTTAAGTGTAGACATCATCTTCATTTCCTGGTATCTTTTGCATTCCTTTGTATATAAGGGAAATGTATTTATAACTGAAGGATAAAGAAAAATCTCAGGGGAGAAGAGGATTAGAAGAAAAGCAGAAGAGAATGAAATGTACGGTAATGCATCTGTTCTCAATATGTTTCTTGGACCAGGTTTTAGTTCCTATGGCAAGAGGAGTAAGAACTAGAAATGAGATTTTCATGAAAGATAGGTAAGATCTGGAATAAAGGCATTTCTAGAAATATTTAAAAAGCAACTTGAGGCTCTAGGTCCAAGCAGTACTGCTTTAGGGGCCAAACTGTGATAAAATGTCGATGTGTTGTTGAAGACACCCTTCTCCTTTAGGGAGTATTTCATTTGGATGGGAAGGTCGAGCAGGATCTACATTGTTAACAAGCACCCAGATTAAGTTTAATGCAAGTGAGTTAGGATTTATCATTTCACAATGTGTCACAGTTATCTCATTTAGGATTCGCCATATGTTTTTTTTAAGTCATCCATAATTTTGAGTTGTTTTCTAATTATTGAGTATGGAATTCTTACCCACATTTGTAGGTCCCAGCTCAAGTAACAAAATGAGAGTGTTCCTATTCATTCTATTTGTTTTCCTATATACTTCCACCTTGGGCCTTCAGACAAACTGAAGCAATGCCAGGAAACTTAATATATCAATATTAAGTCAGGTTCTCCAGAAACAAACCCTGAGATAAGAATTCAAATTATTTGTTAAGGAGATACCTGTGAGAAATTGGTAAAAGATTGGGAAGAACAGGGATTGGAAGGGGTGGAAGCCCAGCAGCGATGCAGTCTGTGGCAAAGTCCTGCAGAGGGTAGCCTGAGTTAAGCCTGATCTCCAAGGGAGTGGGGGCTTCCCTCTTGCCTGCAGTGCGGGAGACCTGGGTTCGGTCCCTGGGTTGGGAAGAGCCCCTGGAGAAGGAAATGGCCACCCACTCCAGTATTCTGGCCTGGAAAATCCCATGGACCGAAGAGCCTGGTGGGCTACAGCCCATTGGGTCACAAAGAGTCGGACACTACTGAGCGACTTTCACTTCACTTCAGTAAGTTCTTACATTGTGATAGACATCACGACAATCACTGTCAAAGCAATGCCTAATTTGAGACTCCAAGGGGATACTTGCAATGCAAGCTGTACCTAAAAGCTGTCCTGTTCAGAAGCAAATGCACTGACACTTTCATACTTGTACATCTATCAGCCATTGATTACGGGCTGCCTTGGGGGCACATAAAATCCTGTGTACATCTGGATTTCTGAACTTATAGGCAAACTGGGCTCCTGACAGCATTCTTCTGAAAAAGAGCCATAGATGCTCGCTGCTGTAAGGAAAAGCACACAGTAGTTGGAAATGTGTAAAATGTACTAACAACAAGCTGAGAAATCTGGACAGAGCACTGACATCATCAGCTCACCTGAAGTTTATTTTGTATTTTTATTTTCATTGACTTAACTATCTTTTTTTATCATCAGATGTTTTAGAACTTAGTTTTAATTGGAGGATAATTGCTCTACAGTGCTGCGTTGGTTTCTGTGTACGACAGCGTGAGTGTACATACATCTCCTCCCTCCTGAGCCTGCCCCCTCTGTCCCACCATGTGGGCCCTCACGCAGCACCAGGCTGAGCTCCCGGTGTTACACAGCCGCTTCCCACCAGCTGTCTCTCGTGTGCATGGGCGTGTGTATACACCAGTGCTACCCTGTCAGTCTGTCCCACCCTCTCCTTCCCCCTCTGTGTGAAAAATCAACAAACATTGGAAGATTGTACTCTGGCCATCCACTGTGCTGGATACAGTGATTTTGGAAATGCAAAAAGAAATTCAATGTAATCAAATATTTGTAAGCTGAGTTAATTCACAATTTCTCTTTTTTAAGGTTTTTTTTTTTTTTTTTAAAGGACTGGACCTTTAAAGGAATTGAACAAAATGCACCTTAGAAAGTCCAAAATTATTAACCTAAGCATGGGGTTTGCTAGACTAATCCAGTTTGACATTTAAGATAAATATAAAAAGTATTTCTGTTATTCCACTTTATCAGAATACTATAAGTTACTGAAGTGTAAAGCAAATTATGTCAGCAAAAGTAATGGAGATTGTAACTGGACAGACTTTGCTTTTTATGGTGCCAATTATTTGATATGTTTCTTTCCTTCTTCCATTAATGCATTCATTCTTCCAATAAATGTTGTGAGCAGCTAATTTGCCAGGCAGTACCCAAATTTCTGAAAGTAAATAGAAAAAAGATATTTCCTGCATTGTGTGTGTGTGTGAGCGCATGTGCACGCACATGCTCAGTCATGTCTGACTCTTTGCAACACCTTGGACTGGGATTTTCCAGGCAAGAGTGCTGTAGTGGGTTGCCATTTTCTACTCCAAGGGGTCTTTCCAACTCAGAAATCCAAACCCACATCTGTGTCTCCTGCACTGGCAGGTGGATTCTTTCCCACTGTGCCATTAATGGTGTTTAAAATATAAGCTTTTTAAAGGTAATATGGTGGCACAGTGGTAAAGAGTCTTCTTGCCAATGCAGGAGACATGAGTTCAATCTCTGGGTTGGAAAGATACCCTGGAAAAGAAAATGGCAACCCACTCTAATATTCTTGCCCAGGGAATCCCATGAACACAGGAGCCTGGTGAACTATAATACATGGGGTTGCAAAGAGTCAGACATGACTTAGCTACTGAACTACAACAAGCAACATGCAATTATAATTTATATGTTAAGTTTTGTAATTTTAAATCATGTTTATCATACATTTTTAAATATTTGGGTTACCTTTTTTCTATTCATTAGAACATAAGTAAAAATATTTTCTGACAGTATTTTAGCATTTAATAAAAGCACACACTTGTACTCACCATAAAAAACAAAATATATTGTTTTTAAATATCAATAATGCTTTGTGTGTCCATAAGGGCTACTGTACCTTGTTATTATTTTTGTTTCTTTATGAGCTAATATTTATATGTTGTGATGATTAAGTGATGTATTTGTTGTTCTTTCTTGAGCACATTCTACTGAAAGCAACTTGATGTACTAGGATAAAAATAAACTAGATTCTGACAGAATGCATTCTAATTGGGGCTTATTTATGAGCTAAGTGACCCTAAGCAAGTATCTCATTTTCCCCTTCCTATTCCTTTAATATGAGCATTCATCTCATTCTCAATGTGACCAATGTAGTCCTTATGTATGGGAAATAAGAGCACCTTTGATTAATTCACAAACTATGACCAATATCTTTAATTCATGTTTTGTTTTTTGAAAATTTTGTTTGGTCTTCATGTTATACATACAAATAGTCTTCTTAAGGTATATTATTGTTTATGATGTCTTATGGGTCTAAACATTATACATTATTAGTGTATTTGTTTTTTATTGCTGAATATAACAAATTACCACAAACTCAGTGGCTTAAACCAAAACCCTTTTATTAAGCCCACAGTTCTGTTGGTCAGAAGTCTGGACATCTCATTGAGGTTATATGCTTAGCCTCTCAAAAAGGTTAAAAAATCAGTGTTGGTGAAACTAGACTCTTATTTGAAGGTTCTAGGGAAGTATCTGTCCCCACATTCATTCAAGCTGTTGACTGAATTAAGGTCTTCATGGTTTTAGGATTGGGGTCCCTGTTTTTTTGCTACAGTCAACCAGGGGGCCACTCTGAGCTCTGGTTGAATGCAACCTGCCTGCATTCCTAGTCACATGGCTTCCTCTGTCCTTAAGCTAGGAGAGGTATATCAAAATCTTACTATGCTTCAGATATTTGACTTCCTCATCTGCCACTAGGTAGAGAAAACTCTCTACTTTTAAAGGATTCACCTGGGGTACTCTTTCTACCCCCTTCTGATGTCTATGTTAGAAGCTTTCTCTATCTCCTTTATACTTTAACAAAAGTTTATTACACAAAAACTCTGAGCGATCCAGCCTTGTCTCTGGCCCTGGATTGAATTCTTCTCCTCCGGAGGCCAAGAACCCCGGTGTCTTTGCGTGATTCAGCAACAACCTTTCATCTTGGGGGCTCATCTGGGATTCTTCACGACAAGGTAAGGATGCTTGGAGCTCTAGTTCCTTGTTCTCCTAGCGAACATGTTTCCTGCTGTACTTTACTAACTCTACGGTGTGCTTGTGTTGATGAATGACACGCCCTGCATGAAGCAAGTGAGGAGCCCTGCTCTGCGGTTCCGCGGTAACCTCATATGGCTTATGACAGAAACCTGTCGGAGGTTTATACCGACCTACCAATGCCAAGAGGCACCCAATGTCTCCTTTGGACTGAGCAGAAATGGGCAAAGTGTGTGGACCAAACTCTCCTTTCTCAGTCAAGCTTTTCGGTCTCCTTGACCATTTCATAACTCCTCGAACATTAGAAGTACTAACCTAATCTATCAAATCATAGACTTTCAAGGGACTTGTGATCTGTTACTGCATACTATGACTTAGGTTCCCAAACTTGGATTGGTAGTCAGGAAGCACCTAGCCTCGCTAGGCATGGAAAGTTTGGAAACTAGATGGAGCTCTCGCTCCAAGAGCATCTCTGAGGTAAAAGTTACTCAGATTGGAACTACAAAGGATTTTCCCCCCTTTGGTAACGCTGGCTCTTAGTGGGTAAGAGGAGGCTCATACTGGTGTGGTGACGCTTGGAAGGAACATCTCAGTTTCAAGTGCGTGTCGGTCTTACTGTGGTCGGCAATATACTCAGGGTCGTGCACAAGCACTCAGGTGACGAATGTTCCCTCAGCGGTTTAGCCTGAGAGGCATTCCGGAAGGTTACTCTGATTGCACCCCCAGTGGCATCAGAGGCAAGCAAGGTTGTAACGGTGAGGAGCTGGACTTCAGTCAGGGATGCCATCAGGCCCACCCCTGGTGCATCTCTGTCCGTCTCGGTGGTAGGACAGGGAGGGACGAGTAGGTCACCTGCATTGGTAAGGGACAGACTAAGTTCGACCAGGGAAGAAAAGCTTTGGTGTAAAGTCTGTCTACAACCCCATCTAGAGCAGGGAGGGATGCATCCCATAGAAAGATGGCGCTGGTTGATTTTTTCTCTCTTACAGATGGGAGCTAACAATTCCAGCCTCATTCCTTTGAACTGTATCCTTAAAAACTGGGATAGATTTGATCCCCAGGGCTTAAAGAAGACACGCCTGGTCTTCCTATGTGATCCTGCATGGCCACGGTATCCATTGGAGGATGGCGAATGGTGGCTGGTTGGAGGATCTCTTAAGTATAATACTGTTTTACAATTAGACTGGTTCTGTAGAAAACAAGGGAAACGGGTAGCAGAATGTGTTGCCCTTTCTCTCTCTGCGAAATATGCCAGACTTATGTCCTAAGGGTATAGATCTGGGTGTGACACCTTCAGCTCCCTCCTGTCCTCCTACTTTGCTAGATGAGATGGAGGACAGGAGACAAAGAGATAAAGAAAAGCGTGTTTCTCCAACCTATCCCTGAGATCATATGCGCAGAGCAGGAAGAGAGACTGAGGAACCGCCACACAAGCTGTTGCCTCTTCATGAAGCACCCACTGGGAGAAATAATCAATCTATGAGAGTTAATAAGCCTTTTCTTATCAAGAAATACAAAAAATCAAGGGGGATCTGGGAGACTAGAGGACCCAGAAAAATATATTAAAGCTTTTAAAGGTGTTACTCTGCTTTATGACCTTACTTGGAAGGATGTAATGTATATCTTTTGACAAACGCTGACTCCCGACTCAAAGACTCAAGTTTTGGGAAAAGCGGTTGCTTATGGAGATGAAGGTTTGGTATGGAATCAGGAGGGAAGAGGGAGGATGAGATAACCATCTTCCCCACTGGGAATCAGGCGGTCCCAGCTACAGAACCAGACTGGGACTACAACACAGTGAAAGAAAGATGGGATCAGAGTCATTTTGTCAGATGTATTCTTGAAGGACTCAGGCAGGCGCATGCTTTAAACTACGGCAAATTGGCAGACATAGAACAGGAGGAGAAGGAAGCTCCTGGTAAATTCCTAGATAGACTGAGAGAAGCCCTTCGCAGATTCACTGAAATTGATCTGGCAAGTGAAGAGGGAAAAGTGATCTTAAAGGATAGATTTCTCACTCAGTTGGCTCCAGATATCCACCGTAAGCTATTAAAATGGGTGTATGGACCAAATCAGTCTTTAGATAATCTGTTTCAACAGGCTCAGACAGTCTATTATGGAAGGGAATATGAGGAAAAGAAAGAAAGGCAGAAAAGGACAGAGGAACAGGTGGAAGCCCTCGCAATGGCTATGAGAACCGTTCTTAAATAGCCTGAGAGAATGCCCAGAGGGACCCAGGTGAAAAGGGATGGGCTTGCTATTACTGTGGAAAGGAGGGGCTCCTCAAGCGGGGTTGCCCTCAGGCATCTAAGCCGCCCCCAGCTCCATGTCCAGTCTGCAAAGGACCACACTGGAAGAGAGACTGCCCCCAGAGGCGTAGGTTTCAGGGGTTGGACTCTCAAGACAATCAGGACTGAAGGTGCCCGGGGGTCCCCACACAAGCCCCCGTCCTAATTACACCTGAGGAGCCCCGGGTATTGATAACGGTGGGAGGCCAATCCATCAATTTCCTTTTAAATACTGGAGCAACTTACTCCGTGCTTACTAAAGCCCCTGGCCCACTTTCTTCCCTATCCACTTCCATAACGGGACTGTCTGGACGAGCCAAAACGTATTACTTCAGTGTATCTGTCAGTTGTGACTGGGAATTGTGCTATTTTCACACGAGTTTCTGATTGTGCCCGAGTCTCCCTCACCCCTTTTGGGGAGGGATATACTGAGCAAGGTCCATGCTTCTATTTTCATGAATATGGAGCCTTCCCTTTTTCTCCCTTTAATTGAACAAAATGTAAATCCTAGAATATGGCTGATGGAAAATCTGTAGGTCGAGCACAAAATGCTATTCCTGT